TTCCGCATCCTGAGCGCCTGCGCGGCATGAGATGAGCGGGCGGCGCCCGATTGTGGTCGAGATGGTTTAACAGGAGGTAGCAGAGCGCCAGAAACTTTTCTCACATGGGACGATCTAGTACCCCTTGCACGCACATCGACGCTGCAATACAACAGAGTGGGTGCTCTCTCATGGAAGTTCCAGATATGATCGCAGCTATGCGGTCAAGCTTCCGCGGAAGGCTGCACTACCATGTAAGGTGGTTATCCGTGGACATCGCTTCGCAGTTTGCGGGCCTGCGCGTGGGCTGCGGCGGCAGGCGCGCCCCTTGGAAAGAGGTAGTCGGCTCGCATCGGCCGGCTAACGCGGAGGGGTGATCCCCGCCTTCCCTGTCCCTCGTCCTGGGCTGCCCACAGCTGCCCCCCGCCTGCCTCCCTGTCTGTTTGCTGCACCTCATCAGGGGCTCAGCGCACTGCGTGCGGTTTCCTGGCGCGTCCGCGCTAGCCCTCGTCGGGCTGTTGGCTTCTGACGGCGGTGCCCCCGCCCTGGGTCGCATGCGCGGCAGGTTGGCGACCGTCCCCCCTGCTGGGCTGATTTGTCATCGTCGCCGCTGGGCTACCCTTCCGGCCCTTCTCCTCGTCGCACTTGGGGGGTGCCCGCACCCCTGGTGGCTCTTGGAGTGCGCTCGCCATGCGGCTTATCTTATGGCCCTGGAGACGGCCTGCTGGATTGGGCGTTGCTTGCGCCGCGGTCCGCGTCCGTGGCCATGTCGCTACCCCCCCAGTGCTTCAAGTCCCGGCTCTTCGGCAAGGTCCTTCGTCCTCATCGTCGGCTGAGCCTGATTTCCTGCGCGCCCGTCTTCTTTGCCGTGTCTCTCTCGCCCCTCGTTCTCCTTCTTTCGCCCTCTTCCTCTGTTGTCTTCGCTCGCTCCTGCCTCTGCCGCGTTGCCTCTGTGCTTCGCCTGTGCATTTTTCCGCGCGTCGCCGGCGTGACTTGCGCTGTGCCTGACTTTCGCTTTTCGACCTGTTTGGGCGGCGCGCAGCTGCCTGTGTCGCTCGCGAGCAAAAAGTACCCCCGCCAGCCTATCCAAAATCGATGCCCGGGCGAGTTCTGCTGATCAGGGAAGTGGGTGGGGCCTGCGGGGGCCTCCTGGGGGCCGTGTGGGAGCTTCTGGGGGGCGTCTTGGGAGCCTCTCGGGCGCCTCTTGGGGCCACCTTGGGGCCCTTTTGGGGCTCTGTCGGAGGCCTCGGAGGCCTTGTTTGGAACATCTGGGAGAATCTGTGCGTAATCGTGCGCCCCGCCCCCCCTCTGGAACTCCCGTCTTAGGTCTCTCTTTCCGAGCGCCCTCCATTTGGGTCTCTCTCGGGGCCCTCTTGGGCCCTCTCGGACCTCTCTTGAGGCCTCGGGGGCCCATCGGACCAGTTTTTGTAATTAGGTTTTTGGCCTCTCGGGGGCCTCCTTGTGTATTTCCGTGGCCATTTGGAGCATTCCAAGGGCCATTATGGGGTTTTTTGGATGCATCTTGGAAGCCATCATGGGCCAAATTGGACCACATTTTGGCATTTTTGAGGACATCTTGAAGAGCCTGGGACCACCTTGGATCCCCAATGATTCAAACGCCTCCGAAGGCTACCCCCGCAAGCCGCAATTTTTGAATCCCTGTTTTTTTTGGGGGGGGGTACATGTTCTCGTTGATCAAAAAGGAGAGGGGTCCAATTGGGATCCCCACCTCTGGAGCCTCCATCGCCTCGTGGGGCGCTCTTGGGGCGCTCTTGGGCGCTCTTGGGGCCTCCTTGTGCCATCTTGGGCCCTCTTGATGCTTCGGCGAGCCCTCGGCAGCGAGAGGGCGCGAGGGCCCAAATCATTGATGTCCCGCAAGTTGTTCAACAGGTTTTGGCCTCTTGGGGGAGGGGCCACTTGGACCCGTCTTGGAGCGGTCTTCAAGCCTCTCCGAGTATGCCGGGAGCCATCTTGAACCATTCTGTTCTATCTTGGGCCATCGTGGTGGTCACCTTGGGCTCTTGGAGCCTCACCTGGAGCCATCTGGAGCCCCAAACCACCCCCGGACACTTCGCCCTCCTCCAGGTCCAGGGGTAGGGGTTGGGGGAGGGGTCAAGACACCCTCCCGCCCACAAGCTGTCTCGATGACTCCCAATCGCCCTCCCAACACATAAGTGGCAGCGTTCGTCTATGGATGGACAGCATGTTCAGCGGTCGTCTATGGATGGGCAGCTACTGGAAACCGAACACAGACCCCATATGCGAGACGCTGGGACGAGCTGCGCCACGCGTGCCAAGCGCGCCACTCGCGCCAGGTGCGCCAGGCACCCCTTGGGACCAAGCGTGCCAGGCATGCCTGGCTCGCCAGATGCGCCACGTGCTCCACGTGCGCCACGGGTGCCGCATGGTCCAGCCGCGCCAGGCGCCACATTCGGGGCACGCGCAGAGTGTGCCAGGTGCGCCCGCGCACGTGACAGCACACATCGGGAAACATGTCGGCCCCCACCATCCTTGTCGAACGCCAGTGCGCAATCGCGGCGGGAAGGTCATCATGGTGTCTAGTGGGCCTTCGCGCAGCAGGCAAAGGCCAGCACCCCCGCCGTCCTTGTCATAAACCACAGGGCGATGATCAAGGCGTGGCCGCGGATGACCAGATTTGGTCGCGAAATTGCCGATTCCAGCTGGATGGTTCCCCCCCTGAGCCGGTCCCATGTTTCGTTGGCTCCCGTGACGTGCGCCTAGCATGGCGAAACGCCCCTTGCGCGGCAGGAGCCCGCCGCCAGAAGGAGTGGGTGCATCCTGTGGGCGGCGGAGTGGAATGGGCCAGGAAACGAGGGGGGGGCAGGTCTTCTCAGAAGGCGGCAGGGCTTCCAAGGAGCCCTCGCACGGCCTGAGAAGAACTTTGAGTCTCTTCCGAGAACACAGACGGCCTCCCAGAAGGCGCCAGGGTTCCTGAGAAGCCCCGCAGCCTTCTAAGAAGGTCCGCCCCCTCCCTCTGGGCTCGCCGTCGAACGGCGCTGGTGGTGCCCGCCAGCGGCGCGGCTCCGTGCGTCGAGCGAACGAGGCAGCTTGCCAGCGATGAGGACAGACCTATCTTGCAGCGGAAGGCTCCTGCCATAGGCCGTCGGGGGCAACGTTCGGGGGGGGGATAGGGTCAGTATCGTTTATCCGACCCCAATCCCCATCCCCTATCCCCTTCGAGACCCCACCAAATGACCCCCCCAGGTGGGAATACACCCCTCGAAACCCGAAGGGAACGGCCTATATCCCCATCTAGGGGGGTGAATCGGCCATTGGCCCAGGCCACGCCGCTGGGGATGGGGATCGGTTAAACGATGCTCATAGGGCCAGGCGGGGACGCATCGCCAGCCATCTCGCCGAGAGGGGCCCGACATGGCTCTCCTCGCCCAGGAACGTCTGAATTTGCGATCGGTGGCCTGTCGCCGATCCATTGGCGATGTATTGCCGAGTCCAGGTCGATATTCCCCCCCTGTTCCAGTCCTCCTCTAACTCAGGCGATCGCAACCATGGATCAAGGGGGCGTGGATAGCGACGGGTCCCGCTCCCGTGGAAAACCGCGGATTTCCGCCGCCGAGCGAGGCGGCGCCGGCCGCATTTTGGGGAGGGCATCTCCCCCGATCCCTGCATTTGGCGACCGCGCGCCTACTCCATGGATCGCTAATCCATGTTTGCGGCCCCCGAGTATTGCCGAGTTCAGGTCGATATTCCCCCCCCTGTGCCAGTCCTCCTCAACGGAATCGGCGTACTGTGTGAGGGCATGAGCATGCCATCGCAGGAACCACTGGGTTTTCCAGAGGACGTTGTCCAGGAGGGGGTTGTCCAAACTTTTCGGCGCTATCCAAAGGATTGTCAGATCGCTTTCGCGTCGACGTCGCAACGCAATCCAATGTTGGTCACGTCCCCATCGCAGTTATCCACTGGGCCTTCTTCCGCTGGGCCCTGTCCGTATCTTATCTCTCGTGCCCTCTCCAGTCTTTTCCACTTTTCTATTCGGTCCTCTCCTCCGCCGCCCACGCTGTATAGCGCTTTGTGTTGCCTGCTTCGACCTTGGCGGCCCTGGACGACCGTTACGCTTGAGCCTGTTCAATCTGGGTTTGATGCTCAGTGGCATCCTCATTTCATGCCTGGTGTTTCCATCCTGGAGAGGTTGTCCGCGCTGCCGCTGGAGCGCTGGTCACATCCCTGGTTGGGAATGGTGTTCTCGCCCGAGCGCCAGCCACATCAGTGGTCGGCTAGGGCTCGAGCTGAACGGTGTTTTGGCGATTCCGTGGACCGTCTGCGCTTTGATTTCGTTTCACAGCAAGGGTAGAACGACGACATAGCGAAGGAAAACGAAAACAGCACGAGAACGACAAACACTGCTTCGCTCGAGCCCTGTGGTCGGCAGTGGTGCTATCGCCTGAGCACTGGCCACATCCCTCCCCGGGAATGGAGCTCTCGCCGTGGCGCGGGCCAGGTTCCTGACTGTGTTTTTGGCGTTTCCGCTCGAGCGCTGAGCGTATCCCTGACTGGGAGTGGCAGGCTCGCTTGCGCGCCGGCCCCAATGACAGGTGGGGGTGCACATCGTCTCCATCCTGGGTGGGTTGTCCAGGTTGTCCTAGGGGGGTTGCCATTCTTAGGTTGTTGACGTTTCGAGGAGTGTTCGTGTGAGTTGCGAGGAGCGGCGCTTACTTGCTAAGCCCGAACCCTAGCCAGCCTCGCCTTCCGTCTATGCTCTCTCAGCCGTCATGCGCTGCTTGTTTGAGTATCCGTGCGCCTTGGGGGCAGCGCTCTGACCCGAGCAGAACTCCATGGCTCGCATTTTGCGCACGTTCTTTTCCGAACACGATGCGCAGAAGCGGAGCGGCAGGAATGTGTCATATCAATACAGAGTTTAACAGACATGTTTTTATTCGAGGTGTCTGCTGGCCCAGCAGTAGCGTGTCGAGAAGCTCATCGGCGGGCTCATGTCCAGTCTGCGCAGTTTGCGAGAGCAGAGTGGAGCTGCGGAGAGTCTGGAGGTCGCTACGAGCATTCCGCCGGAGCTCACGCCGATGTTCTTGCAGAATCTCGACAGGCAGCTGCGCGCCTTCTGTCAGGCAATGTATGATCATGCAGTGCAGGATCATCATCATTACCACCATCACTATCACTACCATCTTCAGCATCATCGTCGTCATCATCATCACCATCATCACCATCATCATCAGCACCACCATGATCATCGTCGTCATCATCATCACAAACATCATCATCACCATTTCCACCACCAGCATGCCATGACAACAATCATCATCATCACCACCATCACCATCACCATCGCCGGTATCATCACCTAACCATCACAATCATGATTATCATGACCACCAATCATGATCATCATCAACATCATACTCATCGTCATCATCACCACCATCGTTGTCATCACAAGCATGATCGTCATCATCATTACCCAGATATGATGCACCATCTCAATCACCATCTCAATCACTGTCATAATCACCATCTCAATCACCATCACCACCACCATCACCATCACCATCATTATCATCATTATCATCATCACCATCAAGATCATCATCAATACCACCATTATCATCATCGTTGTCGCCGTCGTCGTCCGCCGCATCATCACCATCAGCATCATAGTCATCACAATCATCGTCCTCATCATCATCAGCATCATCATCATTATCATCGTCATCCTCATCAGCATACCATCATCATCATCATCATCATCATCATCATCATCATCATCATGACATCACCATCACTATCACCATCACCATCATCATCATCATCATCATCATCATCATCATCATCATCATCATCATCATCGTCATCATCGTAATCGTCATCATCATCATCGTCACCAGCAGCAGCCGCATCACCACGACCACCATCAGCATCCTCCTTCTCCTTCTCTTCCTCCTCCTCATCATCATCACCTGCGTGGTGTGCCGTCCGCATCGACTTTGTGTCGAGTCGAATTGCCTCTGAGAACCGGTCGGATCAGTAATTCGAATTGGCAGTGCGCAGCCCTTACCTCGAATTGCTTGCAGGGTCACAGAGCTACCGCTTTTGGGAGTTCAGCTTTTCATTACTATTAAAGCGGGCCTGTCCCTCTACAGAGGGAATAGTTAAGAATAGTCAACATTGTCTGGGGACGATTTTTCTAGTATTTTTGAGTATGTTGGAATACGTTCTGAGTATTTTTCATTTTTCGTGCAAACTCCCCCTGTAGGGGGGGGGACATGCCCGACCTAACACTACTACCTCAGTCGTGGCCTCGTCGACACAGCAGTCCAGGCGCCGTTGCCTACGTGACACAGTTCATTCAGCAAGTGGGCACCACGGGTTCGCGCCTGACCAGCCTCATTATCATGATTACGAGTCCACTGGATCAAGTCCGTCAAGTTGCGGATTCTACGTACGTAGTGCAGCGCGGAATCACATCATGGAGGTTTCCATCGAGGCCATGCAGCTGTCCACCAACACATCCGCGGATGACACCACAAGCATGCAGGCGCGTATTCTCGCCCCATCAGGCTTGAGGATACTGTATCGCAGATCGTCGCCAGCTTTGAATGCACTGCTTTCGAGCCACAATGCACAATGCAGCATGACAGTGGCTAGAGCCTACCTCTCCTTCCCGCCCCCAGACTTGAGTCCGTAGTGTTCTTAGGTGACACTCAGGGCCCGTATGAATGCAGGCAGGCCCCATCCGCTAGTCTCCCGCTTCCCGGACCCGTAGTTCCATTGCAGCAGCGGCTCCCGCAGCTTCTTTGGCTCATGTCTTGCTTGCCTGCCCCTCGCAGCCGAGCGCACAGGCGGGCGGCGTCACTCGCGAGCTCCGTGATCCGCACGCCTACGCGTGAGCCATGGGCGGAGTTGGTCACAGCATCCCTTGGATGCCGTATCCAATGAACAACCCCGTGCGCGTCTCACGCACTTTGCTCTCTGTGGCGTAACGCCACAGAGAGGAGGGCGGAAGTCCGCCCTCCGTCCCCGTCCCCGCGGCTTGCTCTCTGTGGCGGAGAGCAAACACCGCGTATGCGACGCAGGGCGGACCTCCCCGCGCGCGCGACGCAGGGCGGCGCCCTGCGGCGGGCCCGAAGCAGCAGCCCACCGCGCCGCACCCACTCGGACTCTCAGGAGGCGGCGGGGCCTCTCAGAGGTCCTCCTCCTCTTCCGAGAAGAGGCGCTCCCCCACCGGGCGGGGAGGAGGCCACATCCCCCGGGGAACGTTTGAAAAGGAGGGCCCACGGACACGGACAGGAGGGAGCGGTGACGGCGATGACGACGACCACGATGACTCAAGCGGAAGAGCTTCTCACACACACGCCGACGGGGTCGGCGGATTGCGGAGGTCCGCGCGGATCTCTTGGATCGGCGTTGGGCCCCCCTGGCGGATCCCCCGGCGCCGCTTGTGGCGCGTTCCGCGCGCCAGGGGCGTGGTACAGCGCCGCCGAATCAAGGCATCCGCGCGGATCTCCGAAAGTTTGTGTTCATGCAGTTTTTTGTTTTCTGCAGGCAGCTGTGACAGCGCGGGTGCACCCCGCTGTCGCTGCCGACTGCTTTGTGATTCGCCGATGGTGTTCTGCAAGGTGGTCACAGCTCTTGGTGCATAATTTGTAGCATGGCCTCAGTGTTATGAGTCTCAGCTGCTGCTGTTGTTCCCCCCCCGCGCCTGGACACCATCAATGTCTGCACGACTGGTATCAAGCGGAATCGGCCGAGGCAGCGGGGAATGATCAATGGCACGAACCTCGTAATCATTTCATTCGCAGGCGCTGTCAAATGTTTGAGTCGCATGGCCAGCTCGGAGATCGCGCCGGCTCGGAGATCGACCGCCGGATCTGGCAGCTCAGGATGGCGCTACGCTTGGCCTGCAGGGGAGAGCTGGCCGACAGCAGGAGAGCGCTCTGCCGCAGGCAGCGGCTTCCCGAGGGCTCTCGGGCTTGCAGGGTTGTGCAGTGAGCGACGCGAGGTATCACGTAGGGCACCCGGTGCGCCCGGCAGAAGCTTCGAGGGAGTCGTAGGCGCACGTGCGGTACTGCTCTCGGCGACGGGATGCGCAGGTCGCGACGCTGCGAACAGCCCCTGGCGGGACTGAATCGTGCCGAGGCCAGAGGAGGAGGAGCAGATCATGACAGTCAGGACGATAGGGGGTGATTGCGGTGAAGATGATTATGATGATGATGGTGGTGATGCTGATGATGATGATGATGATTCTGCTGATTCTGATGATAATGATGAGGATGATGATTAGGCTTAGGCTGATGATAATGATGCTGAAAATGGTGATGATGCTGTTGATGATGATGATGATGATGATGATGATGGTGATGATGATGATGGTGATGGTCATTATGATGACGATAATGCTGATGATGATGCTTCTGATGTTGATGCTGATGATGAGGGTGATGCTCATGACGATGATGATGATACTGATGATGCTGGTGATGATTATAATAATGATGAAGATAAGGATGACGATGATGACGATGATGATGGTGATGCTGATGATGATGGTAATGATTATGATGATAATGATAATGATGATGATGATGATGATGATGATGATGATGATGATGATGATGATGATGATGATGATGATGATGATGATGATGATGATGATGATGATTGCGATGATGGCGATGATGATGCTGCTGCTGATACTGCTGATACTGGTGATGATGATGATGATGATGATGATGATGATGATGATGATGATGATGATGATGATGGTGGTGATTGTGGTGATGATGATAACGATCATTATGATGATGGTGATGATGATAATGATGATGATGCTGCTGATGAAGAGGATTCTGTGATGATGATGTTGGAGCTGATGATGATGATTATGATGATGTATTCGTGCTGATGATGCTGATGCTACTGATATTGCTGATGATGACGACGATGCTGATTATGCTGCTGATGCTGATGCTGATTGTGATGATGCTGTTTATGACGATGATGATGCTGCTGCTGATGATGGTGTCGTCGATGATGACCATCGAGGCGATAATGATGACGCTGATGCTGCTGCTGCTGGTGACGATGATGATGATGGTGATGATGATGATGATGCTGATGATGATGATGATGAGGGTGATGCTTCTGACGATATGGTGGGAGCTGCTGCTGCTGCCGACGACGGTGACGACGATGATGATGATGATGATGCTGATGATGATGATGGTGATGATGATGTTGTTTATGATGATGATGTTGATGATGATGCTGCTGATGATGATGATGATGATGATGCCTATGGGGGTGGTGGTGATGATGATGATGGTGGTGGTCGTGGTGGTGATGCTGCTGCTGACAATGTTGCTGCTGCTACTGGTAATGCTGATGTTGCTGATGATAAGGTTTTTATGCTGCTGCTGGTGATGATGAAGATCAGGATGATGATGACGATGATGATGCTGATGGTGATGCTGATGCTGATGATGATAATGATTGTGAGATGATGATGATGATGATGATGATGATGATGATGATGATGATGATGATGCTGATGATGATGATGCTGATGATGATGCTGATGATGACGATGATGATGCTGATTATGATGCTGCTGATGATGCTGGTGATGATGAGGGGGGTGACGATGACGATGAGAGGATGGTTGTGGGGATTGTGAGGAGAACGTGGACTTGGCGGCGGATGAGGAGGAGCAAGTGGAGCAGGAGGAGGAGGAGGAGCAGGAGGAAGGGGAGAGGGAAAAGATGATGATGATGATGATGATGATGATGATGATGATGATGATGATGATGATGATGATGATGATGATGATGATGATGATGATGATGATGATGATGTGATGCTGATGATGATGGTGATGATGATGCTGATGATCTGATGATGCTGATGATGATGACGACGACGATGTGATGCTGATGAGGCCTGAGGCTGATGGTGATGCTGATGCTGATGTGATGATGATGCTGATGCTGATGCTGCTGATGATGATGATGATGATGATGATGATGATGATGAT